AGGTGAGAACTAATTCACTCTGTACTTGAACATATAAATGCATAATTCTTGTATGCAAGATGCCAAATAAAGCCCAGTAATATAGGAATACACATTGTTGTATATTCGTTTCAGGCTTTTGTAAAAAAAAAAAATAATAATAGTAATTTGGAACCATTCATGGTGGGATCAACCAAATATCCTGTGAGAATTCTAAAGAAAATTATATTTCCTGTTTAAATGTCTCCGTTTGTCAGGTGGACATCTTGAATAAAGTGGACTGGAATGGATGGATGCACACTCCAGGAATGCCCCCCGTCAAACCACAGTGAGCACTGGAGCACACGTTTGGAGTGTGTGTGTGAGATTTGATTTGAACTTGTCCTCTTTGTGCACAGGTATGATACCACTATGGCAGATGCCTGCACTGCTCTGTGCCAGAGATGGGTGAAAGTGAGCCTTTCTCCTATTAAACCACACCAAAGCCTTTCACAGTTTTGAAGCTTCTCTAAATAACATTGAGTTTAAGGCTAAGCCTCCTCTTTCTCTGTTAAGGCAAAAGAAGAATACCTTGCAAGTTTCACTGAGGCAGACGTGAAGAAACTCAACTCTCCTCAGCTCATTGAGTTCATGGCTTTGTTGCTCCAAGAGGTAATAAATAAGTTGAAATCCTTAAATTGAAAGAGGGACCCAAGTCATATCTAGAGACCACAATATCTTGTTTTTGTCAAGAACATCCTAGCAATGACCTTAGAACTTGCTGAGACACAAGCAAGAACTGTTAAATTTTTTTGATGTGAAGAAAAAGAAAGAAAATTTATTTTTTAATAAAAAATCTAATTTACAGGGTGCATAGCAGTTAAGCATGAACTGTTCACATTTTTGTATAAATGTGATTTAAAAAAATATATATTTCATTAATTTTATTTAAATATTTAACATTGTTTTTTTAATTATGTAAATACCTATTTAATTTTTAATTTAATGTAATTTTATTTATTTTTATTTAATGTAGAAATCTAATTTAGTCTTTAATGCCTCAGTATGTTGTTGCAGAGCTATGTAAGTGATGCTGTAATAAAAACACATTTAGTGCTGCAGATTAAAAGACAGAGGAACTGCAGAAGTAGTCTTGAAATGTGTCTGTTTCCTCCGTGTATTGCCAGGAGCCCCTTCCTCTGTCCCATGTGAAGAAGATGCAGGAGGTCTACCAGCTGAACAGTGTTAAAAACGCAGAGGTCCGCTTCAGGTAAGCACCCTGTTTTTATTTATTTATTTTTTTTAATTATTTCATATTTCAGTATTTGATGATGTCAAATTGGTTGTTTATGCAGGTGGTTGCGCATCTGTGTGAAGGCGCATTGGGAGGAAGCCGTTCCCCTGGCGCTGAAGATGGCTACTGAACAGGGCAGAATGAAATTCACTCGCCCACTCTTCAAGTAAATTCATTCAATTGTTTTGAGAAGTCCATAGTTTGACCAAAACAACAAAAAAATGGGTCGCTTGTTAAAAATGGACCAAAATGAACAGGATGTTGCAGAGAGTTTTGTCATTTCCGTGCTACTGCGAGCAACCGTGCACACTTGTTTTCAAGTGTCCAGAGCTCATCAAGACCATTTCAAAGTGCACTTGCTGACCTCCTTCTCCTTCTCTTTCTCCTTTAGGGAAGTTTACAACTTCTCCAAGTACAGCGACGAGGCAGTGAAGACTTTTAAGGAGCACCGTGGAGCGCTGCACCCCGTCACAGCCATGCTGGTGGTCAAAGATCTGAAAATCGATGGCTAAAATGCTGCTTTCTGATCTTCTTATACACGAGCAGTGTTTCTATGCTTCAACCTAGTACTCAGATACAAAAATGCATATCACACCTCGAACAGAGGGGTTATTGTGCAGAACGTTTTTCTCTTCATTGGCCAAAGCTTGCTTTTTTTTTTTAATGTCTCAGTCTCAGGGCTTAGAACAAAAAACAAGCATTATCAGTATCATGTAGTTCAGTGTTAAAAAAAATGAGCATATATTAACTATGAAGGATCCGCTATATCCCGACATGTCCACAGTAATGATCTGTAATAAACTCATCAATGTCTCAGTCTCAGGGCTTAGAACAAAAAACAAGCATTATCATGTAGTTCAGTGTTAAAAAAATGAGCATATATTAACTATGAAGGATCCGCTATATCCCGACATGTCCACAGTAATGATCTGTAATAAACTCATCTGTACAAGAGATTTCTGCTCTTTTATCCAGCACAAAATGTATCATGGTGTGTGCATCACGGCTAAGTTCATTACACTGGATTTGCAGAAGTGTAATTCACATAAATCACCACAGGAGGGCGCAGCCCATTTAAGTTCATTAGACTTGATTTGCAGTGATGTAATTCACAAAAATCACCACAGGAGGGTGCAACCTGTTTAAGTCGGGTGTGCCTCACACGTCTTGAAAAGTGAAGCTGCAGGCTCTTTGATCGCCCCCTGGTGGCTGGCTGCAGTACAGGTCATAAACCCCGCCCTCTCCATGTAAACGAATGGAACTTGAGTCAAAATAAAAAAATAAATTACACTTCCAATACAATTTTCCGAAAGATGGTTTTGGTCATTTAAGGTAGTTGTTATCACGTTGATATATGTTAAATTGTTCGTTTTTGTGATAAGTTTGATTTTAGCTAGTAATCTGATGCTATAAAAACGGGGAGTGTCGTTATGGTTGATTGGGTCTGTGGGAGTTTGGGCGGGAGCTTGATACCGCTGCTCCACCTCACGACACTACTGCGCAGACTCTGGCTCCAAACGAATCTCTACTGCGCAGACTCTGACTCCAAACGAATCTCTACTGCGCAGACTCTGGCTCCAAACAAATTCTCAATTTAGCGTATTATCCCGCCCTATGCGTGTGCGCTCCGCTCAGTCGCTCCACTCGTATACCGTTCATGCTCATCGGAACAGCAAAGTCCACTCAAAAATTGAGCCAACAGGAAACATTGATGTAGTACAGTATTGTTTCTGTCTGCAATAGCCCTACTGTGTTGTAACATGGTGTGGTATATGAGCAACTCTGGTAACGCTGCCCTCTCATTCACTGATCTGCTAACCGCTATGTTATGCTCACGTGTTCTGATAATAATAGCTTTCTAGGACTAAACATTATTTGGATAATTGGTAAAAAAAAGTTAAATATCTTAACCCTACTGTTAGACCTACCTGAAAAACTAAAAAGCAATTTATTTAATTCGAAGGCCTGTCGTTATTTTTTATTTGTGCTATCATTATTAACTTCTTTATTTGTTCTTATTTTATTACTGACTGCTTACTTGTCATTGTTTTATTCAATTCAAAGTTTGAAATCAAGCTACCTCGTGCTACTTTTCAAATTATCATATCGAAGTTAGAAATTCAAATATTGTGACAAAATTAATTTTGTAGGGTGCCACAAGTTTGTTAAAATTTCCAAAGGGTGCTGCAACTAAAAAAAGGTTGGGAAACACTGTTGTAAAACAACACAAAACAACACAAAATATCAGTTGCATCACTGGCTCAGTGGATAATGGTTTCTATTTCCTAAATGTAAGTCTTGGTTCAAATCCCACATTAAATAATAATAATTATTATTTATCACTTACAACCAAGTTCTCAATAAAAACCCATTAAAAACATTCATTTACTCCACAGTCCCAGTGGCTCAAGTGATAGTGTTGCGTTTTAATTATGGAGTATTGAGTTCAAATCCCACTATTGCTTATGTTAAATCATTCTCATTATATTCCAAAGATTCACTGAAACCCCAAGGCTGTATGTGAAAGCTGTGATGGGCTAGTGGACAAATGCATGTTTTCAAACACAACATTGTGATGAAGATGTGGGTTCAAATCCTGCTGCTGATAATCATACTCGCAAGATTTATTATAAAATCACAGGTCACATAAAGGTTGATGGTAAAATTTAAGTTCCTGCACAAGGTCAGTCATGAGATCTGTGGCTCACAGGTAAACGATGGGCTCAGAGGTTGCGGGTTCAATCCCAGCCAGATCTCACTGATATAAACATGTTGTATGAGCCCGACATTTGAAAATGTTTCTTTTAATTTAAAACAAAGATCTCAGCAAAATACCTTTCAAAACACAATTCAACTCGCTAGACTCAGTGGCTCAGTTGATAAAGCGTTGTGGTTTAATCATGGAGATCTGAGTTCAAATCCCATTATTGCTTATGTTAAATTGTTGGAATTATATCCTCAAATGCCCTAAGTACCTTAAACACCAACACTCAGTGTGAGGTCAATGGCTAAATTCTAGGCTCTGTGTTCAATGCTGTGATTGAAGCTTGGGTTCAAATCCCACTTCAGTGTGTTGCACGACGATCACAACAGAAAGTTTGAACTAGTTTATTGTACAGGTCACATATGCTGTAGGTTAAGAGTGAAATATAAGTTCCTTCACAAGTTTTAACCTAAGATCTGTGGCTCACAGGTAAGAGTGCTGCCTCATGACTCAGAGGTTGCTGGTTTGAACCCAGCCAAATCTCACTGGTATAAAGCTGTGGTCTCACTTGCAAATATTTCTCTTCATTTAAAACAAAGCTCTCAACAAAACACCATCCGAAACATAGCTTAGCTCACCAGACTTAGTGGCTCAGTTGATAAAGCGTTGTGGTTTAATCCTGGAGATCAGAGTTCAAGTCCCATTATTGCTTATGTTAAATTGTTGGCATTATATCCAACAAAGCGCCCCGAATGCCAGCACTCAGCATTAAAGCCACAGCGGCACTAGTGGCTACACAATGGGTGTTGTATTCAAGGCTACAACTAAAGCATGGGTTCAAGTCCCACCTTTGCATATCAAATGACACTGACACAATTTAAATCTTTAACTAGTTTATTGTAAAATTACAGGTTAACAGTGAAATATAAGTTCCTTCACATATCCCAACAAGAGATCTGTGGCTCACAGGTAAGAGCACTGCCTAATGGTTCAGAGGTTGCTGGTTCAATCCCAGCTGGATCTCCATGAAATGAGTGACTGGTGTGTGAAAGAAGGGGTGGGGATGGTTCGGTTCCCCCCCTGAGTCCCAGAGCGATGTCCAGCAGTGGTTATGCTTTTCAACCTGAAAAAAAGTTAGCTGTATAAATCTTTCCATTCCCAGTCCCTTACCCACCTCCTTAGGTTACCATCATTTGCTTTTTAAAGGAGTGGCCCCTCAAAAAGAAAATGATGGTAACCTACACATGAACTAGTAAACAACACACATTATAAGCATTACCTGTCCATGAGCAGATGTCCATCATTACAGCGAATGTCTGTCCACACGTCCCAGAGCTCTGCTTCTGTTGACTGGGTGCTCAAACACATCCTTTATTCTGTAGGGTAAAGACATAATTACTCCATACTGCAGAACCAAACATATTAGTGTAAATAATAGTTAATACATGTCCTCAAGAATGTTTACAGAAAAAAATATGATTTGAATAAATGTTATTAAAACTGTGCAAGGAGTGTTATTGTTCAGTAATGCTGTATAAATAATAATCTTTGAATCTTTGTGCTCATATGATTGCCTTCTACCTGTCTGTAAACTAAATCTTATGCCAAATAACATGAAAATGCAAACTAAATCAATAAATCTAAATTGTAAGATTTTGCCACCATCACTGGGCTTGATTGGTCTGAAACAGACATTCTTGCAAGACTCTGCACCAATCAGATTTATTACTACAGATGTAGCGTCCAGACGAAGAAGATGAAGAAATGTCAGTTGTGGGCGTTTTGTGTCCTTAATTTGGGGGATGAAAAGGAACACCTGTCAAGCAGCAAATGTGAGTAAATGTTCTGTTTGTCTACTAAATTTTGCAGCGTCACATGCCACTCTGTCAGGTGACAATTTCATTGCTGATTAGCTGAAAATGTGCGCTGTGGCATGACTTCTGTAAGTAATGATAATTACAATAATCAAAAATGCATTTGAAATATGCATAATTCACAAAAATCACCACAGGAGGGCGCAACCAATTTAACTTCATTAGACTCGATATGCAGCGGTGTAATTCACAAAAATCACCACAGGAGGTGGATCAAGCAATAGCTTTACAAATTTTTTGATACTCTCTATGAGTACAGTTTATATTAGAACGTACAACAAAGCTGGTGTGATCCAGTAGAACACCTTTACAATCCATCAAGTCAGTTAGGGCGCAACCAGTTTAACTTCATTAGACTCGATATGCAGCGGTGTAATTCACTAAAATAACCACAGGAGGATGCAAATCATTTTAGGACAGAACCACAAAAATATTATGATACAGTCAATTAATTACTTAAATTATACAAGAAATAACTTCGTGGCAAGTTTCTATTTCAATAAAGGCATGAGACAAAAACTCTTTTGGAGATTTATTTCCTTGCAAGAAAAGGTCAACAGTAATACAGATTGGCTGCAGAGTGTGACCAAGACAGATACGTTGACTCAGCATTTATGTAAAATCAGGATGCTCCTATCTCATTCCAATCATACTGCATATTCAACAAATGTGTCCATTTAAGGTATCTAACTATGTCCCCTAGATGCATACCTAAGTATTTAATGCAAATTATCCTCTAAGAAGTTAGGTCCAAAACAACATTTCACAATTCAAACAATCTAAAGTATAAAAAAATCTAAAGCCAGATTTTGTTTGTTTGTGAACAGAGTAATCGAGTTACCAGTCATCAATCAATATCAATCACATCAATGAATTGTTGAATTTCTCTGTGCATTCGGCTATATAGAATGGTTTTGTGACACTGCACAGCTTTTACAGTTTACAGAAATATCAACACAATTAATCTGTCGATCAGTCCAGTTCCCAGTACACCAAATACAAACACAATTCATATCATAGCCTAAATGCCTATAAAAGACGACCGAACAAATGACAACACTTTATGGGGCTATTCTTGTACATAGATACAAAATATTGAATAAAACGTATTTGTAACTTAATAAAAAAAGTCTGAAACATATGTGTGTATTTTACAAATATTGCAGCTAATCCACTTCATCAGTTTTCAGTTCTCCATCCGCTCCACTAGGCGGCGTCAGCGAGCGTCACGTTTAGCCTCACACCCATAGACTGTATAAGATGATTGACGACAATGACGCTTGATCACATTCATGTCGTTTAATACTATGAAAGTACAGATTCTGCAGATGACAGTTCAGTGACAGACTCTTAATGTCTCTCAATTACCGCCCGTCAGCAAACAAAACCGACACAAACTGCGGTAAAGTGCAGGAATCGAGTGTAACGCGACTCACCTGTAAGTAACTTTCCGCGTATGAAGTCCTCAGTCGTTTTGTTTTGCTTTAAAGTAATTCTGTAAGTGTGTATTGATGTAGTAGTGTTCACTCGCTCTCCTCTCTGCGGCAGAATGACAGTCTCTGTTGTGTTTGTTTTGCTCGCGGTGTATCTGCGCATCTCTCACCTGCTGCTCCTCCAGACACTTCTTCACATTCACAGCCTTTCAGATCTGCTAGAAAGGTAAATCTGTTCTGACATTTCTAACAGAGTGCTTGTGCTGCTAAGCAAGACAAGGCAAGTTTATTTATATAGCACATTTCATACACAATGGTAATTCAAAGTGCTTTACATAAAAGAAATGAAAAAATAATAAAAAAGTAATCACAACAATAAAACAAGGAATTTAAAACTTTGAAAATGATTTAAAAATTGATTTAAGAGGTTTAAAATGAGTTTAAAACAGTTAAGAATAGAGAATGATTATACATAAAATATAGTGCACAGTGCTCATTCAGTAAATGCACAGCTAAACAGATGAGTTTTGAGTCTGCATTTAAATGGGGCTAATGTTTTAGCACATCTGATCTCTTCTGGAAGCTGATTCCAACTGCGGGCGGCATAATAACTAAAAGCGGACTCCCCTTATTTTGTGTGAACCCTTGGTATTTCTAACTGACTCGATTCTAATGATCTGAGTGGTCTGTTAGGTTTATAATCAGTGAACATACCTGCTATGTATTTAGGTCTTAGGCCATTGAGTGATTTATAAACGAGTAAAAGTACTGATGCTAGTCGTTTGCAGATGGTATTTGGCGGAGGGACTTTCTCTAGAAAGTATTTGATTGGACAAAATTTGTTTAGCGCAATATACCGAGTTAAATATATTTGATTTGTGAAGAAAATGTCCACATTTTACATGCATTTCTTAAAAGCATACTTTCACTAGTATATTTAGCCTTAAAATAGTAGCCATGAGCTGAAAGCCATTTGAGATTTCATTTGAGTCAGAAAACCTTGTTGATGAAAAAATGCTATTTGACCATATTTTAATCATGTAAGGCAGTCACATAAATGAATGTTTACTTTTAGAATACCAAATCAAATCAGTAGCTGTTGCGTTACGATTATATAAGCTTTATATAAAATGTTCATGTTTTTTGTTGATTTTTCTAACCCAAATGTATGTCATCTTTTTATCATGGCAATTTCTTAAATGTGATCAATAAATTAAAAGTAAAATCAGTATCATCAAAATCCATGCCTGAACTGTAGAGGTGGCACATTCAAAAAAGATTCATACAGAAACCAAACACTCAGATCTGCAGTGCTTCTTGGAACTATTTTCATTGGTAAAAATGTACAAAAACAATATTGTGTCTGAAATATTGGTCAGTTAATATTAGCTTCTTGTTAATTGAATTGTGTGTGTGTGCATATATATATATATATATAATTTGTAGTGTGCTAGTTTTTGATGAAACACCAGGGAACTTCCTAGGTTGACTTATGGGAGTTCGCTTAATGTTTATGGTTTTTTAAAATGTTTTTTTGTTAAATACCTGAAATAAGGTCTGTGCATGGTTAACAAAAGCTAAAGATCTTTCCATGTTTTATTCAATGACATACAATACATTATACAAAATAAAGTAGTGCCCTTTGATTTTTTGAGCTTTTAGTTATCTTAAAAAAGGTGGTTGCTAAGTGGCTATGTGGGACTACAGAGGTTGTTGAGGACATTAAATGTCGTCAAACTATTTTCCTGCAAAAGAATTGTAACTCAAATTTTCAAGGAAAATGTCTTTTAAATAAATATCGAAAGAGTTGTTTGAAGCTTATTGATGGTGAAACTGAAGTCATGCAACTGCGTTGTATTACTTTTTACATAAAATTGTTTATTGTTTGAAGATTAAAAAGTGTGTTGATTTTAGATGATCACTTCTGCAGTATAAACAAAATATGATGCAATCTGAAAGCAGTTTTCAGACAATGACTGGACACTTAGTTTCTGCTTTGCACTTGGACTTCATTGTCTAGCATTTGATGTTACCAGTAGCACTGTTTTTAAATCTGTTCCTTTTTTATCCATAATGAACTTTTCTGTGTCTGATTATTTATTTTCTAAAGACTTTCCTCATTGTGACGCTGCTCTCTTGTGACACACCTGGAATATAAACCATCAGCAGCAGAGCAGGTGAGTGATCTTATGTTTTCTTGCCTGATAAATTTCCAGCCTTTCTCTGTTTACCCTCTGAGGAAAATGACAAAGATGATTAGAATTATTCAATAAGAATAAATATAAAACATGATAAGGATGAGTGTGTGCACAGTTTGAACTGTCTGTCCATGTGAGAATAAAGATTAATATTTTCACGCAACATCGACCAAAGACATCTAAACCAGGGCTGCCCAAACTCGGTCCTAGAGGGCCGGTGTCCTGCAGAGTTTAGCTCCAACTTGCCTCAACACACCTGCCTTTAAGTTTCTAGTATGCCTAGTAAGAGCTTGATTAGCTGGTTCAGGTGTGTTTAATTGGGGTTGGAGCTAAACTCTTCAGGACACCGGCCCTCCAGGAACGAGTTTGGGCAGCCCTGATCTAAACGAACCAAAAACAGGTCTTGATGTCTCAAGCATACCTGGTTCTTCTCGTCATGTGCAGTATGTTGACCATTACAGTTCGGTAGAGGTGTCAGAACCACCATCTCCCTACAGCCGATATTCCTTTGCATGTGCAATGGAGGAATTCCTGGCACTGTTTTGATTTGTTTCCACATTTTATAAGCTCTTAGCGAGTTATAAGCTGGTTAAAATTCCTCCATATGTAGTGATTTACATATTAATTTACATATTACATATTAATTTTAACATATTACATATTAATTTTAATGTTTTAAGTACAATAGTGTATTAAATTGTACCTAGACACAAACTTTTTTAGTAATATTATAATTTTATATTTTAATAATATTAATTATACATATAATCAAATTTTATTCAAATGTCATTAAATGTATTTATTTCTTAACATTTGCAACAGTCCTCATTTTAATATGCTAATTCTAAATATTTACCAGTTTTTAATAGTTTTATTGTTAAGATTTAATTGTACCTTTTTAAAATTGTATTGCATGCGTTTTTTATGTGTAAATTATTTCTGGCAAAAAAAAAACTGATTTCAGTATTCCATTTATAAATATTTAGTTATTTTTGAATAAAATGTATATATTATTTTATATAATATTTACTTATTATTTTTAGTGTTTGAATTACAATAGAGTATTCAGCTGTACCTAGATTCAAACTTTTTATAGTATTTATTTAACTGTACCTAGGAGCAGAATTTCAATGTTGTTAATTGTGTTCCTAATTTCCTAACATTCCAGATTCTTCCAAATATTTACTAGTTGGTAATAATTTTATTATTGTTAAGGTTTGTGTCCTAGAGACAAACTTTTTATTAAATGTGTAAATATTTAATAACAAGTAAAAAAAATGTTTTTGCAAAAAAATAATTTAATATTTTATGTATATACTTTTATATATTATTTACTATAATATTTACATACTGATTTTTATTATTTTTTTAAATTGTACTGATGAACAAAATGTACATAAAAATCCTGATTTTAATATTGTAATTCTGAATATTTATTTTTAAAATACATTTTTGTTTAATTGTACCTATAGACAAAGGTCTTTTTTTTTTTTGAATGTGTAAATGTGCTCATTTCTTATAGTAAATAAATACATCTCACATAGTGTGAGCCGGTGTGGCTGAGTGGTCAGAGCTCATGGCATAAGACCTCAACCCAATGCAGGAGATGTGGGTTCAATTCCCCTCTCTGCTGCAAATGTAAATGAAAAAGCTACTTTTCCCCATTTTGCAGCCAAAAAAAAAGGAATTTCAAAATTTTTTTTTCTGTTGCAGCTCTTTTTCCTCTCCACCTCTCTCAGGCCCGCCTCCTCTCTCAGGCCCACCTCCTCTCTCAGGCCCGCCTCTCCGACCATCTTACTGCCCCAGGTACGTCTGCCAGTTAGTCCATGTTTCTCATGACTGCTTATCTAGTCTGTTGTACCGCCCCATGTACTTTTGTTAGTCCGTGTTTCTCATGGCTGAGTAGCCAGTCTGTTTTACCGCTCCAGGTGTCTTAGCCAGTCTGCCTCTAGCTTTCTGTTTCACCGACTTTGCCGCTTTGCTCAGTTATTCAGTATCTCTCTTTGGTGTGGGATTTGAACCCGCGACTCCACCGTAACCTTGTCCGCAACCAACGTGTATTTAACCACTAGCGCCATTGTGGCTTTCACACCAGCTACCGACATTTGGGCCGCTTTGTTGGATATAACATCAACAATTTAACATAAGCAATAGTGGGGTTTGAACTCAGGTCTCCATGATTAAAACACAATGCGTTATAATCTGAGCTACTGAGCCTGGGGGGTTGACCTGGATCTTGATGGGGATTTATTAAGAGTTGTTTTGTATAAGAAGAAAATGTTTGCAGGTGTTGGGTTTGAACCCAGACTATCATGCATGAAAGTCAAGTGACTATCCACTACACCACAGAGGTTGTGATGTGAGCAGGTGAGATGGTTTTTGTTTTATGTCACTGTCTGTAACAACAATCTAAGATAAGTAACAATGGGATTCGAACTCAGGAGTCATTGTTTTAAATGCAACAGTTTATCTCCTGTGCCACTCAGTCTGTGGAGCTTTAGTGTGGTTTGGACTTGTTTGGACTATTGTTTTATTTTAAGCTGCATCATAAATTATAGCAAAAAAGTGACATAAGCAATGGAGGGATTTGAATTCTGGTCTTCATGTTTAAAATGCAACACTTTACTGCTTGAGCTATTGAGCCTGTAGGTTTTCAGATTGTTTTTTTGATGTGTTTTTATTGACAGTTTTGTTTTAAATGAGAAGTTCTTAAGCAGTTGTGGGATTTGAACCCACACTTTCCTGTAGCAAAAAGCAAATAATTATCCACTGAGCCACAAAATTTGACATTATGGAGGAGTTTTAAAAATAGTAGTAGTATTTAAATTTCTTGGTATTATCTTTTTGCATAATAAATGGTGAAAAGTACCTTAGCAATTGTGGGATTTGAATCAAGACTTTTATGCACCAATATAGAGGTGTTTAGCCACTGCGCCATGGAGGATAAAATGTGTGAAAGTTTTGGATTTTGGTGTATGGCATTACGTACAGCAACGATTTCAAATAATGAATAAAAGGATTCAAACTTAGGAAGTCATGTTAAAAATTCAATACTTTATTTATTGCACCACTGAGTCTGTGGCGTTGTAGCGTGTTTTGGATGTGCATTTATTTTTTTATTTTTCTTAAGCTACAGCATAAATTATAGCATGAATTTGATGTATGCAAAAGCGGGATTTGAACTTGGGTCTCCAGTATTAAAAGTCAACGCTTTATCGCCTGAGCTACTGAGCCTACAAAATCATAGTATGTTGTGGAAGAGGTGTTATTGAAAGCTTTGTTTTAAATGATGGAAAGTACTTTAGCAACTGTGGGATTTGAACCAAGACTTTTATGTACCAAAAAGCAAACAGTTATCCACTGAGCCAGAGCATTCATAATGTTGCATTGTGTCTTGTTATCACAATGTGACAATGTGGTTTTGAGGGTCGTTTAGACTTTCAGGTGAAATATTGTTTTTTTTATTTTATTGTTTTTTTTTTACTACTTGGCATTGTTATCTTAAAGTACTGATAAAAGAACATGAATGGGCTAATACATTAAGTTGTATTATTTCATGTGTACATTTGTGTATAGAATTACTTCATTTTTCACTTTTACTTATAAATGTAAAAATTATTGGGTGTGATGTTTTTGGTAGAAACAATGAAGATATATAAGAAACGATCATTTATTTTACATAATTTCATGCATATAGTACTTTAAACTAAACTTTACCTTATTTGTATATCACTACATGAAATTGGCTTTCAACATGGAAAAGAAAACCCCACCCCACTTTTAACAAACATCAAGACAGCACTGAGAGAGCACATGCACTTCTCAATCAATCAGTAAAAGAAGAAAAAAAATGAATTCATGAAATCACATGTAGTTCAAAAGAACACTATTCTCAACAAGGGTAACACAAAATCAAAAACTTAGTGAAAATGTAATACAGAACCACATAATTAACAATAAACAGAATGACAAACAGAGCTATGACCCACACTAACTACAAATAACTATATTTACTGTCTTTCATAAGCAAAGACATAGCTAATTAAATATTAATTTGCCACAGCCAATCATTGCATGATGCTGAAGAGTCAGCCTTACACAAGTCATGCTTGACTTCCCACATCGATGCACAGCGATCAGTGTCTGACACAGAACTGTGCATGTCAGTTTGAGATTTTGTTCGACCTGAAAGCCACCTCCACACTCAGTCAACACAGTTTCTCGAGAACGGCTGCATAAGCCACACCATTTCAGTATAACGTGTGTTTCATGTTTTATTCTGATATTATGTTGTCTCACACATCCTTCAAATATGTTATCTCAAAAATCTGTGATAAAGATAACAGCCTTTATATAGTGTCATGTTTATCAAAATAAAACTGATTTTAAAATGTAGACCCCATTAGTTCTAAATGAGCATGTCCGTAATTACCTACACCTGGAGGATCTAATCAAGCCTACCTCAACTTTATCAACTCAGTCAGAGCTAAAGGCTCGAGAAAGCCAAGTAGATATAACTGCAGACCGGAGATCTCCAAAATGGGGCGTGAACTCCAAAAGTGGGCAGAACCTCCAAAATGGGGCGGGGTCTCCTCGCGCAAAGACTTTCACCATTGGCTCTGGCTCCAGCCAATTGTTATTAACTTACATTTCAAAATAAAACTTTATAACTGTAACATTGTTTCTAGTTCATCTAAAATAAAATATGCTATATAAATAAATATTCTCTGTGAGAGCAGAGCCCAAAGCTCGTGGCCAGTGGTGTTCAGACTGGAGTTTGAACCTCTGCTT